TTTTTGACAAAGTAACAAATATATATACAGTGACGAAATGGTGCTGGGAAAATTGAAGAACCATATATACAGACATAAAATTGAACCCATATCTCTCATCATATATAAAAATTAACTCAAAATGGATTAAAAATCCCAGCACTTTGGGAGGCTGAGGCAGGTGGATTGCGAGGTCAGGAGATCGAGACCATCCTGGATAACATGGTGAAACCCCGTCTCCACTAAAAATGGAAAAAATTAGCCAGGCATGATGGCAGGTACCTGTAGTCCCAGCTACTCGGGAGGCTGAGGCAGGAGAATGGTGTGAACCCAGGAGGCAGAGTTGCAGTGAGCCGAGATCGCATCACTGCACTCCAGCCTGGGCAACAGAGCAGACTCCATCTCAAAAAAAAAAAAAAAAAAAAAAAAGATAGTTTAAAGACTTAATTGTAAGGCCTGAAACTATAAAAATCCTGGGGGAAAACCTATGAAAAACTTTTATGGACAATGGTCTAGGCAAAGAATTTATGACTACATCCTTAAAAGGAAATGCAACAAAATAATATATCAATGGAACTTACTTAAACTACAAAATTTTTGTTCAGTAAAAAATAGTAATAATCAACAGAGTACACAGACAACCCACAGAATGGGAGAAAATATTTACAAACAATGCACCTGAAAAAGGGTTAATATCCAAAATCTACCAGGAACTCAAACAACTCAATGAAAAAAAAAAAGAAAAAAAATCTCATTAAAAAGTGGGTAAAGGATATGAATAGACATTTTTCAAAAGAAGACATACAAATGGCCAATAAATATATAAAAATGTCCAACATCACTAATCATCAGAGAGATGAAAATTAAAACCATAATGAGATATCATCTTATACTCATCAGGATAGCTATTAATACAAAGTTGAAAGTCAAGAGATGTTGGTGAAGATGAGAAGAAAAGTGAATGCTTATACACTGTTGGTGAGAATGTTAATTAGTATAACCTCTATGGAAAACAGTACAGAGATTTCCTGATGACCTAAAAATTGAACTATCATTTAATCCAGCAATCCCACCACAGGGTGTCTACCTAAAGACAAAGAAATCATTTTATTAAAAAGACACCTCCTGACTTGTATGCTTATCACAGCACTAGTGACAAAGCAAAGTCATGGAATCACTAATCACTAAATTTCCATTCACTGATAATTAGATTAAAACATTGGTATATATGTATATACTATGGGATACTAGTCAGCAATAAAAAAAAAAAAATGAAATCATGTCTTTTTATAGCAACGTGGATAGAAATGGATGCCATTATCCTGAGTGAAATAAATCAGAGACAGAAAGTAAAAAATGCATGTACTTTCTTTGATGTGGGAGCTAAACAATGGGCACACAAGGATGTACAGAGTGGAATAACAGACATTGGAGACTCTAAAGTGTGGGAGGTTGGAAGGGAGTGGGAGGGAAGAAATACTACCTACTGAATATAAAGTACACTATTCAGGTGATGGGAACATTAAACCCCAGACTTTACCACTGCCTCATATAATCCATGTTTCACAACTGTACTTGTATCTCTAAATCCATAAAAATGAAAAAATTTAAAACAACCAAAACCACCTTTTTGTTTCACCTCCCATCTTCATGCACTAGTTTTGTTTAGGTTAACAGTGATGAGCATATAATGAAATCCAATGGTCACTTTCTAGTCCCTAACTCCTATGAACTCTCAGCAGGCCTTGACATAGTTTCTTTATTCATTACTTCTTTATATATTCTTCACTGTGCTTCAAGGACATGATCCTTTCCCAGTTTTCCTCATAACTTATGGGACCTCCTCAGTTTCCTTCAGTATCTTCTCCTTCTATTATTAATCTCTAAAGTTAGAAGGCCTGTTGCTGTTCCTAGGATGCAGTTTCTATCTGTACCCAGGCCCTAGAACATCTCAATATGCCACTGGATTTAAATAGCATCTGTTTATGTTGCAAACTCTAAGATTTGTGTCTATGGCTTTAATGATTTTCCTAAATGGTAGATTCTACATATTCATTGTTAGTAGATACCTAACAGGCAGCTCAGTTTTACAGGGATATAAGAAATCTTGCTTTTACACTTCCTCCAAACTACCCTTCCTTCGTATTTTCCCTTTTGTTCAACAGTGTCACCATCTTTCCAGAGCTCAAGCCAGAACCTTGAGATCGTCCTTAAATTATCTTTCTCACATGCCACATTCAATCAACAAGCAAATCATATTGGCTTTGCCTTAGAAAATGAAACAAAACAAAGAATGAAGCACAAATATCTTCCCACTTCCTTTATCATAACCATGCTCAATAATACCTCATCGTGAAGAATGATCATAGCCTTCTGTTTTCCCTGATTTCATTCTTGTCTTCCAAAAACACATGCCATGCACAGTCAGAGTGATATTCTCATTAGGTAAGCCATAAGCATTAGGTAATACTAATGCTTAAACCCTCTGGGGCTTCTGAACACACTTAGAATAAGCTCCAAAGCCTTTCCTCTGAACAATATAATCTGGACCATGCTAGCTCGGTCATTGTACTTCATACCTCTCTCTTCCTCACACACTTTTTTCTAACTTGTATGTATCAAGTATGCTCCACACAAGGGCCTTTGTCTTTGCTCTACTTTGCCTAGCTTGTTCCTTTCCTGTCCTCATTTAGCATGGCTTGTAGCTTCTCTCTTCATGTCTTCATTTAGGTCTCTTGTCATATAACTTTCAATGCACAATATCTGAACTAGTGTCTCCTACCTATCCCCACTTTTTCTATCTTCTGACTCTGATTTATTTTTCTTTCTAGTGCTTCACATTTACCCTGGTTTACATATTTACTTGCTTATTTGTTTATTAGTTCTTCTGTATACATTCACTCTCCATTCCCTATCCCCACTGGATGCTAATGAAGTTTTATCATTTTCATTCACATTTGCATCTTCAGTGCATGGATCTGTGGTTGACACACATAATGAATATGTACTGGATGAGTAAATGTTTACACTCCTGCTCAGTCTAGTTTTAGCAATAGCCTTAATAAAATGAAGTTTATATTTTCATTCTCTAGTCAGCTTTAGAAAACTTTTCTTAAAAAAAATAAATAAATACAAAGGAAATCAAAGGCTGGTGAGAAATTAATAAATGCTTTGATAAGTGGTAAGTTGATTCAATCACTTTTTAATCGGATAAAGTATAACTATATTCAAGAATGGAACAATGTTTTTAAAACTCTCCTTTTCTCATGAAAAGGTTTCAATTAAGAAGCTAAAACATGATGAGATGTAAACTAGTATGAAATTTTGAGGTGAATTTTTATAAGTTAATGAATTTGTAATTTGGAAATATAGAAGGCTTCTTCTGAATAGACATTTTATATTAAGATGAAGCTATACTTATGGAATATTTACGGTATGGATTTTAATAAAATTTGCAGGCAGGGTGAAAATATAACAACTGCAAACTTACTTAGTTTACAGGTTTATATTCATGTTAACAAAAGTTAAAACACATTGTTGGTTGCTTTTTTTTTTTTTTTTTTGAGACGGAGTCTGGCTCTGTGGCCCAGGCTGGAGTGCAGTGGCGCGATCTCAGCTCACTGCAAGCTCCGCCTCCCAGGTTCTCACCATTCTCTTGCCTCAGCCTCTGGAGTAGCTGGGACTACAGGCGCCCACCACCACGCCCGGCTAATTTTTTTTTTTGTATTTTTAGTAGAGACGGGGTTTCACTGTGTTAGCCAGGATGGTCTCGATCTCCTGACCTCGTGATCCACCTGCCTCGGCCTCCCAAAGTACTGGGATTACAGGCGTGAGTCACCGTGCCCGGCCTACTTTTTTTTTTTCTACCATGTCGTGCTGTTGACTGGCCGTGAACTTATGATCAACTAGTAGGTTTTAAAAGCACAATTAAATGTTACCCCAGGTCACTCTACTTATCACGTATATTTTTAAGATCTGCATGCATGTCTTTACATGTTTCCAGTTTTAGGTGATTGAGTGCTTATCCTGGCCAGTAGGGCACACATTATCTGCTTCCCCGCTAACTCTCCAAACATCATCTGCCATACCCTCTCACTCAGTGTGTTCCTGTAAACTGGCTTCTTTTCATTCCTCAAAAATTCTAGCTCTTTCCTGTCTTAAGGAAATAAGACCTAGACCCTCTCTCCCTGAAAGCCCTTCATTTGGCTTTTTCTTTACCTCCTTAGATATAACGTCACTTCTTTTGAGATATACTCTGTGAATCTTTCCCATCACATCCCCTTACTTTAATCCTAAATTTAATGTCTCTTTTTATTCCTTTAATTGGAAGTCTTTTCCCTTATTAAGACAAAGAGCAATGTGTAATTATGTGTTTATTTTTATACTTATTTGTCTCACATCAGTCTTGTCATTTTCTAAGCTGTGAGACAACAGGTACCTTATTGGTTTTACTTACTAAGAAATATTCATCATATCCTGTCTAAAAAACTGTCTAATAAGTGAAAAAAGGAATGAATTATTTACACATATTTTTCTTATGTCTACAAGGGTATCGTGAGATACCAGGTCAACAGCCATGCTGTGGGTGAACTGAAAGCATTAGAATTTCATTACAAATTGAAGTTTATATTTATACCTGGTTGCTAAATGTTTTCTTCAATGAAATCAACAGATGATTTACTCTAACTGGCTCATTAGGATGCAACGCAACTCAAAATTAAAAGTTATTTTACAATCACACAAAGATTCTTCTACTATCGAGGCAACTGTCAATCAGTGTGTGCCTTAAGATTTTTATTAAGAGAAGAAAGTATAGAGCCTAGATTTGACAATGGAAGTATTGGAAACAAAAATTATTAATGATGGCATTGAAAGATCAAAATAATTCTAAGAAAATGCATTCTCAAAGAATTAAAAATTGACAAAATATGAATTTGAGCGCAAAATACGTAAAAATATGCCTATCATTAGGTGTGTTTTAGTCTAATATATGTGACAATGTTTCAAAGCGTCATACTTACTTCACAATCAGCAAGATACATACGGTACCTCCTGTTGCAGAGAACAAAGAGTTTATGACTTGAATTGCAACATAGATGTAAAATTTCCTTGTACACGCATCATCTCTTGGGCATTCACCCAAGTGGGCTGAGTAATTTCTGTTCCGGAGACCAGTTACTTCCACACAGCTACAGTTATAAAACACCTAAAAATAGTTTTTGAAATATTACCAAATACATTTGCCAAATACAACAGGGCTATGAATACATTCCATTATATTTAAGGAAGTCTCAAACTAAAATATTTACCGTTTAAAAAATGTTATAAAAATATAGTTGCTTAATACTGAAAGGCAAAATAGCTTCCTGAATTTAGGAAGTTAAGAAATTAGTGTATGAAATTCTGTATATAATTTTTTCATTAATATACAGTGTTTAAAATATTTCTCTTCCACCCATATTTACTTTCTAAAATACACATTCTTACTCTCTTTGACAGGTTCTAAGTATTAGTGACTTACTCTGGGAAAGAACTACCAAAGAATCCAGAAAATATAGCAGTTTGAAAAGGGACAAAATCTAGCCACTCATGAAAATGGGACAGAGTGCAGGGGAAATAGAGCCAGGCACGGGTGCCAGAATTCTACTTAAGAAGGCAAAAGCAACATTCAAGACCATAATGACAGGTAATGAAATATATTATATTATTACTAGAAAGATTTAACACAAAAGAATGTCCTGGCTAATGGTTAGAGTATAGAAGAGGAATATTAGGAACAAGTGATTTTAGAGATTTCATCAGGTAGGCAGTGTATGTTGTTAGGTGGCTTTAATAAATTCTGCTCTGATTCTACACTAAAGATTTAAGTTCATCTTGAACCTACTACTGCTAAAGACTATTTACTGAAGGAGAACTTGTAAAATAATTGACCAGGTGCGGTCACTCACACCTGTAATCCCAGCACTTTGGGAGGCTGAGGCAGGCAGATCATGAGGTCAAGAGTTAAGAGACCAGTCTGGTCAACATGGTGAAACCCCATCTCTACTAAAGATACAAAAAAATTAGCCAGGTGTGGTGGTGCACACCTGTAATCCCAGCTACTTGGGAGGCTGAGGCAGGAGAATCACTTAAACCCAGGAGGTGGAGGTTGCAGTGAGCTGAGACCGTGCCATTGCACTCCAGCCTGGATGACAAGGCAAGACTCCATTTCAAAAAAAAAAAAAAAAAAAAAAAAAAGAAAGAAAGAAAGAAAAAGAAAAAGAAAAAAAGAATTTAAATCCATACTTGTATGGTTCAAGAAAAATTCCTTTTACCTTTTTTTTTTTTTTTTCAATAGGAATAATATGGAGGAATCTTTTATGGAGCAAGCACATTGGCCAATGAAACCAAACTTTGATACAGAGAGCATTATTTTAACAATTTTACTGAGGATTTAGTAAAGGAACTTTGCAGTAGCCCCCCCACGGTATAGCCATTGTCACTATTAAGATGATGTCTCCACGTAGACAGAGCTCCCTTTAGGATACTAACATCATGTATCTTTCACGTCTTCACTACTGGACAACGTGTGACCAGGGATTAAATGGGGCACCCTTATAAAAATCCTAGAGGAAAACCTAGGTAGTACCATTCAGGACATAGGCATGGGCAAAGACTTCATGTCTCAAACACCAAAAGCAACAGCAGCAAAAGCCAAAATTGACAAATGGGATCTCATTAAACTAAAGAGCTTCTGCACAGCAAAAGAAACTACCATCAGAGTGAACAGGCAACCTACAGAATGGGAGAAAATTTTTGCCATCTACTCATCTGACAAAGGGCTAATATCCAGAACCTACAAAGAACTCAAACAAATTTACAAGAAAAAAACAAACAACCCCATCAAAAAGTGGGCAAAGGATATGAACAGACATTTCTCAAAAGAAGACATTCACACAGCCAACAGACACATGAAAAAATGTTCATCATCACTGGCCATCAGAGAAATGCAAATCAAAACCACAATGAGATACCATCTCACACCAGTTAGAATGGCGATCATTAAAAAGTCAGGAAACAACAGGTGCTGGAGAGGATGTGGAGAAATAGGAACACTTTTACACTGTTGGTGGGATTGTAAACTAGTTCAACCATTATGGAAAACAGTATGGCGATTCCTCAAGGATCTAGAACTAGATGTACCATATGACCCAGCCATCCCATTACTGGGTATATACCCAAAGGATTATAAATTATGCTGCTATAAAGACACATGCACACGTATGTTTATTGCGGCACTATTCACAATAGCAAAGACTTGGAATCAACCCAAATGTCCATCAGTGACAGACTGGATTAAGAAAATGTGGCACATATACACCATGGAATACTATGCAGCCATAAAAAAGGATGAGTTTGTGTCCTTTGTAGGGACATGGATGCAGCTGGAAACCATCATTCTTAGCAAACTATCACAAGAACAGAAAACCAAACACCGCATGTTCTCACTCATAGGTGGGAACTGAACAATGAGATCACTTGGACTCGGGAAGGGGAACATCACACACCGGGGCCTATCATGGGGAGGGGGGAGGGGGGAGGGACTGCATTGGGAGTTATACCTGATGTAAATGACGAGTTGATGGGTGCAGCACAGCAACATGGCACAAGTATACATATGTAACAAACCTGCACATTATGCACTTGTACCCTACAACTTAAAGTATAATAATAATAAATAAATTTAAAAAATAAATAAATAAATAAAGTTTTATTGTGGCAAAAAAAAAAAAAAAAAAAATGGGGCACCCTTACTGAAAGGTACTATAACTGATGAATATGAGATGTGAGCTTTTAAGTATAGTCTTTGGGCCACATATGTGCAAGTTTATTAAAGTTGTAGCCTATCTTCAAGGAAACTAGGATGCTTTATTCTTCAAATTTCTCCATGCCATTTAATTGGTAGGACATTGGGCAAGGGAAAGATAGAAAATGTTTAGAACTGAAGCATGGAAGAGTGTGGTAGAGAGTCATAATCACAGCTGACTATATTGCTAATGTTGGTAATAGGGAAAGGGCCTGAAAAACAGTTATGCAACTTTGTGAGATGTTGAATTGATTGTAGGTATGGGGAACAGCATACCTAATTTCCAATCATTGGGAGTTACCCAGGATATTGGGAAAAATTCATGCGTCACATGGAAAAAAAAAGGCGCCTTTGAGTTAAGACAGAAATGGAATTTCCAACGGATATGTTGGCAATCAGTGAGCAGGATACTAAATTATACTGAGTAAAAGAAGTGCCAGCTTTGGGAACATCAAAATAGGAAATCAAGAATAGGGAATTCGAGTAAACATGAAGCCTTGATTAATTTCTTAGAAAGTCCAAGGCCACAGTGAGTCCCTAGCTAAACTTATCAGGATTTGTATATATTAAAATGCAAATAGATCGTTGTCCTCATAAAGCGGGTAATGCTGACAACTGGCTAATTCTGAACTTTCCCCTAACTTCCAAAGGGTAAAGTGATTCCAAATTAATAAAAATCATGTGCTTTAGTCAAATGAGAGACTTCTTAGATACCCTAAATGCATTCAAATTCTAACAGGTCATATTCTTAAAATCCCAAGAAAAAAAGTGGGTAATCTCTAATTAGAAATCAAGTAACAGAGAAGTCTGATTGTGTCCTAAGCAGAGTTTTATATGAAGCTTTGTTTATAATTCATAGCTATCATGAGGACAGATAACACTGGAATATTTTTCTTTTATCTTTTTATTGGAGACCTTAGTTACAGGAAGATTTGATAAGTAATTATTAAATCTGTGATTTTAATTAAGGAGAGGAGAAAAAGCAAAAACTAATACTCACTGTAGACTTCTTAATACCACTTAAGGATTTGCATCCTGCTAGACAAGGTGACAGGTAAGTTATTCCATTGTTCCCACAGACTGGTTCCCATTGACTTTCATCACAATTGCACTCTGAGTTGCAATAAGAAAGTGGTACATCTATATGAGATGCCACTGAATTATTTCTGAAAATATATGATAGAAATATATGAAAAAAAGAGAAAGAGAAAGTAGAGAAGGAGGAGAAGAGAGAGACAAGGGGATAAGGAGAGGGGAAATAGAGGAGGAGGAAGAGAAGGGGAAAAGAAGAGAAATAAGAGAAGGGGTTTTCCTTTAATCAGAGAAATCTGATTTGCTGACGTCAAAATGGCAATTTTTGTAATGCTTATTGACTTTTAACTCTCCTTCTTTACCAAGACATGACTTATGACCTAGAAAAAGTAAAACTTAAAAAAGAAATAAAAGAGGTTAGATAAGACTTAGACAAGAGGTCTTTATCATTCTATCAAAGAAATTTTACATTAGATAAGTAACTTCATTTTTCTGAGATTCACTTTCTCTTCGGGGAGGTAATGGCATTAGATTGACGTTCCTCTCAGCTTACTTTAAAATTCTCTGAATCTACGCATGTTAGTTAATATTGTTGAATTTTGCAATCTGTATTTTAACTACATAAAAAAAGAATTCGATGTGGTTAAAGCTGAACCTCTGAGGAATAAAAAATAATAGAATCAGTTGAAAAAGGATTTAAAAAACTGTATATTTTTTGAATAAAACGATAATATTGTTTGTACTGATTTACTTTATAATATAATTATAAATTACAAGATATAATTTTATATTTTGACTAAAATTATAAAATATGTTATTTGTATAATGTTTAAGCTTAAAGATTTCAAGTTATTTGTTTTGTAAAGATATGATAATTATTGAGGATTTATGAAATATCTTCAAATGAGTATATAATTTAAATTAAGAAAAATAAGTAGATTGTTAATTTAGAAAATACATTATGAATAATTTGATTTAATGACATCTGATACCTCTAATATCTCAAATTTGTGTCTTAATCTTAACATTGCTAGCCATACAATGTGTGTATTTCTCTAAATCTTACTTTTACATCTATAAAACTGGGGTAAAAGTGTCCACCACTCATTTTAATTACCCATAAATTATAAGTGTTATTATTTCAACCTATGTAGCTTTTTCTTAAGGAATAAAACAAATTTTTATCATCTTAAGAAATGGACATTTTAAGAATTTGAAAATTGAAATTTCTCTCAATTAAAGTTTAATTACAATTGTTTTCTACCCTATTTTACTTGCACATAATCTTTTAATTCAATGGTTAACATATCACACAATTTATATAGCAATATATACAAACCCATCATAGGTCAAGGTTAGGCCGGCAACTGATTTGCTTTCACAGATTAGAGGGAAATAAATAAGTTGAAACAAGAAGGATATTATCGAAGTAAGAAGTGAAAATTTGGCAATTCCAACTAAAGACAATTTGAATTTTTTAATGATATATCCTCCTAAAAACATTCCAGTTGCAATCGTAGGAATGGTTATGACTCCTAGAAATAAAAGAAGAGAAAAAAGCTATCATTATATGAATATGGTTTTTCTGATATGTCTTTATTTATAGAATACAGTGTATATCAACCAAATTCACCCTTTCTTATTTCTTTAAGAGAAGGGTGGTGAAGCCGGAAGGCGGAGTTTGCAGTGAGCTGCGATCCGGCCACTGCACTCCAGCCCAGGCGACACAGCGAGACTCCATCTCCAAAAAAATAAAAAAGAGAAGGGTGGCACACTAGGGTGGAGGTAAGGGACAAGTATACCATATGAGAGACAAAAATAATTTATTTTGGCCAATTATGAGGGGTTGGCTTCCTCACGAGCAAAAGGCAGTGGCTAAGAATATGTATGTGTCTAAAATGGTTATTTCTATGAGGAGCTTTCTTTCTTTCTTTTTTTTTTGGCAATCAACAACAACAAACAAAATCTTTCTTCCTCTGAGACTTCTATCCTACCACCTAAAATCCTTTACATCTCTAAAAACAGAGTTTCAATCCTCAATAACTCACTCCAATTTTGCCCAAGGCTTTAGAATTAAATTCTTGAACGAATCTCTTTATTATTCATAAAACACATATATACCCTGATATGATAAAAAATGTCTACATACAGGATTAAAAATGATTGATCCCTCTTACAACTTTTCCATTTCACGGTCCTGTAAGTGTTATTACAGGTGAAGATTCCTCTAACAAAAAATTCAAGCCAGGTTATTGCGAGTTAAAACTTAATCTTTCAGTTTAAACCTGTCAGTTCAACAGGGAGATCATCCAGAAGCCTGTTGCAATGCTTCAGTATATAGATTTTCTAATTATTACTTTCCTATGTACATATGACCTAGATACCTACCATTTGATACATTGTTTAACTCATCAAATATTTATCAAATTTCTACAAGATTTCTACAATACTGGAGTTGTGAGAAAAGTGATATAAGATAAAATTTCCTTAAGGAGAAGGTCTCAATATGACTTTGAAAATAGGTATTGTAGCAAAAAAAAACCAAAAAAAAAAACCAAAAAAAAAAACCCTCTCTAAAATATGATATTTGTTTTGAATCATGCATATTTTGTAATGTATTTAAATTGATTCTCCTTCTGAAAACATTAATATGATGTGTTTTGTAAGTAGCTGAGGCCTTATTTCAGTCCATGAATTATAGGATTATAAGGGTTATATTATAAAAGGGTTTGTCTTAGGATCTCAGTACTATAAGATCCAATTATGCAGATACCACATCTAAATGTTTTATTCACAAGCAATTTTTTTCTTTAGAAATTCACCTATAGAATTAAATTCACCTAACATGAGATGCAACCTCAAATGCAGAACAATGACAATATCACAAGATGGAGACATTTTGTAAAGTTTGAGAGATAATAAGATTATATTTAGTAAAATATAAAATCACCTTCATAATAAAATGTGACTTGGAACACAAGTACTCAGGAGTGTTTCATTTATCAAGCAAACAGGTAAAAAATATGTCTTACCCAGCAAAAAGTTAGCCTGAGATGCAGACTGACCATACTGTTGCTCCATATATTTAAAGATGTAAGTAAAAGAACCAATAAAGCTGCTTATTTGTAACAATGTCAAAAGCACGAACATAACATACAGGGGATTGGTAAGGAGGCTTTTCAAAGACTGGAAAAAACCTATAGAGTTATAAAAATAAGATATTTCAATAATAAAATATATACTAATATCTGAATTTTGTAAATATAAGTTATATAAGACTTAAAGTTACAAAAGACATAACACAGAGACAGTACCCTGCAATCCTACTGTCAAGTTTTTAATATATTCTTTCAGTATTTTCCATATGTATATTATTATTTATTTCTTTCCTTCATTTTAACCTCAAATAGGATGATACATAAATGGTATTTTTTAACTTGCTTTGTTCACTTAATATTTGGTTATCTTTGGCACTTTACCATACTATTAGATATAGACTAATTCACCTATTCATTTATTCAACAAATGTTTGGTTTTCAATTGGGTACCAGGCAATATGCTTAGTGTCCAAGAAACAAAAAAAAAGTGAATCAGAAATGTGATGCTCACCAGGTGCAGTGGCTCACGCCTGTAATCCGACTACTTTGGGAGGCTGAGGCGTGCAGATCGCCTGAGCCCAGGGGTTACAGACCAGACTGGGCAACATGATGAAATCCCCTCTCTACAGAAAATACACAAATTAACTGAGCATGGTGGGGCATGCATGTAGTCCCAGTTACTTGGGGGGCTGAGGTGGGAGGATCGTGTGAGACAGGGAGGTTGAGGCTGCAGTGAGCCATATTCATACCACTACACTCCATCCTGAGAGACAGGGACAGACCCTGTCACAAAAAAAAGGAAGGAAGGAAGGAAGGGAGGGAGGAAGGGAGGAGGGAGGGAAGGAGGGAGGAGGGAGGGAGGAAGAGAAATGTGATGTCCCTTATTTATTAGCATTTAACATAATTATTTTAAAACTGTAATTGTTAAATATAAATTTAAATTAAAGATAGTATAATCTAAGACACAGAAATAAGAGCACTAACATCAAAAAATTTTACAGAAAACATTAGTATGAGGGCTCAGACCTCTTTTTTTCCTGGTATATAGCTTGTGTACCATCAAATACTGCCTCAGTATATCTGGCAGTATTATAAATTCCTTATAGTAAGATGCAAGAAGGTGAGGCAGGGGATAACGATGTTGATCTCAAGTGACATTATGACAGTAATAGTACAACAACCTATGCCTACAAGTAGGTGCAGTAACAAACTTCTAACTTCTGTCCATGGCAGAAATTATGTGATCTGGGTCTGTGATTGCCAACTCAATCAGCCATAATATGAGATAAAAGTGGAAGGAACTATTTAGAACAACAGGAAGTTTCAGAGTACAGCAAGAAAGTCCGAGATATGGTTACTGAGAGATGGATGATACGGGCTTTGAAAGATCTTGCTCTCCATAGACCTTTAAAGATTTTCATTAGATATGGACAGTACTTTCAAACGGTAACAGATAAATACTTTGTTTCCTCTGATTATAATAATAAGGAAAGACAGGGAAATGGCACAGAACAGAGAAGAGTTAAGAAAATGTGTAGCAGGAATAAAAAATATTTAAAGTTGTTAAAACAAAGCACCAAACTTCCCTCCTTAGGTCTCCCCAGTGAGGAAGAATCACCACTGATTTGTGAGGCATTCTAAGAGAGTTGTGACCTTTGCTCAAAATAAATGGAACATGTGGATTAACCAAATTGTTAAAGTTTTGAGGTAAACAGGAACTCGGATGTCACATAAACTGAACTTCCATACAATCATAACTCACTATATGTTGATCCATTAAAAAATGGATCAATAAACAACTCAAGTGACATTATGCTACCTCAGAGCAATTTGCCCAACTTTTGAAGAATTCTCATTGTTTACATGTTGTCTTTGTAACGAACTGGAATTTTCTTTGCTTTCTGATCAATTAGTCTTAGTTGTACTCAAGAATGTATAGAATAAATCTAATTTGTTTTTCTGACTATAGGTACTTAGTATTTTAACCATTCCTAACGGACACCTAATTAAAATTCGCTTTACTATTCACGTCGCTACCCTTAAAGAAAAAAAAAGTTCATAATATAGACAATGTTTACAGTTGCCCCTTTATTTGCACCTTATTATCTTCTTTATTCTTTTTGGGCTCACAGTCAACCCTGGTCCTTATTGGTTTAGAAAATCCATTAATTGGCCGGGTGCGGTGGCTCATGCCTGTAATCCCAGCACTTTGGGAGGCCAAGGTGGGCGGATTGCCTCAGCTCAGGAGTTCCAGACCAGGCTGGGCAACATGGTGAAACCCCGACTTTACTAAAATACAAAAAAATTAGCTGGAAATGGCGGCGTGCACCTGTAGTCTCAGCTACTCTATAGGCTGAGGCAGGAGAATTGCTTGAACCTAGGGGGCAGAGGTTGCAGTGAGCCCAAGATCACGCCACTGCACTCCAGCCTGGGTGACAGAGTGAGACTCCGTCTCAAAAAAAAAAAAAAAATCATTAATTGTTATGGATTGGATTAGATAAAGTAGAAACATAGCATAGACAAAATAAAAAATCCTTGATATGCTATTTTTAGTATGCATGTTAAACTATAAAAACTCATTAATGATGTGCTGGTAAACATTTAACAACAGATTCATTGGGAAATAAACCCGATTTGTAATATTTTTCCATTTCCATGGTAACACATGATGGTAAATTCTCCTACCACGGACAATTTAAAGCTACCTACGCAGCTGAAATTGAGGAATCCACTCTAATGAGTGAATATACAAGGCTCCAGCATCCCATTGCTCTTGGGTTAGTGTGGTGGAGAGGAGAAAATAACAACAACAACAAAGGTAAGTGAAAGAACTGATGAGAGAAAGAATATGGGTTACTTTGGAAAGGTTGTAAGCTTACTTCAATGAAAACCTGAAAAAGTGCCAAGGGTTTAGGTGTTGGTTGCACTGCTTCAGGTTTTACTGCTTCACCATTTCTCCCTAAAACTGCTAACTAAAACTGAAAACTGCTGTCAATACCTTACCATTTCAAATATCTTGCTCTGACAGCTGCTAGATCATTCTCTTGATTACTGCTTCTCAATGGTTCACCATTAGCCCATGTGACTTATATTCAAAAGATTACGACTCTCAAGTGCTAAAGAATCCTAATTCACATTATTGACTCCAAATATCTTAATTACTGATGTTGCTTTTCACTTCATTTTTGTATACTTAAGTAAGATTATATATGTGTATATATACATTTTTAATTCATATATACATGAATTTAATTTAATAAGATATATATAATTTTAATTACCAAGAAAAATAATCTTGCTCTAATTACCTAGACAGACTCCTCTCCTGACTTCCTTCTCCTTATTTCATCTCTACACCTGAGAATAGTTAAATATAACCTACCATAGTACTTAAGATACTTTATTACAATGATCTATATACTTCTCATTATCATCCACTAAGTTCTTAAAAAATAAAGGCAACGTTCTATTACCAGGGAATAGTATGATGGCTGGTATCATTTGTTAAATAAATAAATGAATGAAATATTATAATCCTTTTAACCCTCACAGTTTATACTATATTAAAATGAATATGTACTCTTTGGCTTATAAGGAACAGATGTTAATAGCTTCGATTGGTTTCTGTCTTCTAAACAGCAGAAACCTAATCCTCTTCCCCTTTTTATGTGCTCAAGACATACTTGTTAATTTTAATAGGAGTTTTAGAAAAAATAATTCAGCTAAATTTAGTGGAGAAGCAAGCTAACTGTAGATGATTTGAGTATGTTTTATTTATTTATTTATTTTTTACTCACTTTTCCCTTTCATTGAGATTAACAATTCTAAGTTGACAATTAATGTTAAATACTTACCAGTCACATTTTTTGTAACTTTTTTTCCTCGGTTGGTCAAATTAGCTGTTTGACTTCTTTCATCATTTGTTTTCAGCACATGCAAAGAGAGTGAAACTTTTCTTTCTTCTTGTGGTTTATTTGGATTTTGGGGCAAGAAAAAAAATGGTATGGAAGAAGTAATGGAAAACAGTCCAGACACAAGGAAACCAAGCCACCAAGCTCCAACCCAACGAGAGTCCTTAGGAGTTATCCTGATAGTGCCTAGGAGAAACAGTTAGAAGAAGCCAGTCAAAAATCATTTTGAGGGGCGGAGCAAGATGGCCGAATAGGAGCAGCTCCAGTCTCCAACAAACAGCGCGAGCGACACAGAAGACCGGTGATTTCTGCATTTTCAACTGAGGTACTGGGTTCATCTCACTGGGGAGTGCCGGACGATCGGTGCTGGTCAGCTGCTGCAGCCCGACCAGCGAGGGGAGGGGGAGGGATTGCATTGGGAGTTATACCTGATGTAAATGACGAGTTGATGGGTGCAGCACAGCAACATGGCACAAGTATACATATGTAACAAACCTGCACGTTATGCACATGTACCCTAGAACTTAAAGTATAATAATAATAAATAAATTAAAAAAAAAAAAAAAAAAAGAAGTGACTGAACAAAGAA